GGATATAATATGAATTTGATAAAGTGCTATACAATTGAACATCATGTCCCCCCCCCACCTTGGAATGGATATGCAACTACATATGGAATGGATAAATAAAGAGAAAGAGATGATGAGCCACATATGCAACTTAGACGCGTTGAAAGCACTAGCAAGATAACATGATCAATGTTGAAATTTCATGCTTCATGCACTCTTGCCACCTTTTTGCACTATTAAGCTTCGCCCCCACTTCACACAAAGAGATAACACACTTCTCTCTCTAGCTACAAATGGCAGCCAGCTAGCCACTCTTCAAAACCCACTTTAATTGCTTCGTTTTCAGTTCATTTGACCCAATTCCAGAAAAGTCATCGCGTCATGTACGTAGTAATAATAATTAATCAGAATACAGGGAAACTTAAAGCTTAATTAACATTTGGATTTCAATATTGTTTGAAGTTCAACTTCTAGGCTTCTCTAATGACCTCTTCAAATGTCAAACTAATCCTCTAACTCGAATTCAACAAATTATGCTAAGCCGGCAGTTTAAGATTTGGTTAGGTAGATTGTAGAATATTGTTATTTGGATTGCACTTTCCCTATATACATACCACTCAACCAAATTAAAGAATTAGTAATAAAATTTAGTACAAAATTGCTTTTTTCCCGATTAATATTGTAATAAAAAATTATTAATATATTTTTTAATTATTTAAAAATTATTTTTTCGTTATTTTTAGGAGTGTGAAATTGGCTAACACAACTCAACTCAACTCACCGTTAAACTATTAAAAACTGAGTTGGATTAAGTTGATCCATCAATCTATTAAAATTTATATACTATTTTTTTATTTATCTTCAAATTTTATGATCAAATATAATAAAAAAAATGTTATAAATGTAGCTAGTAATACAATCACAAATAAATTTGTCCTCAACAATAAAATAAGTACACAATACAATCAGAAATAAATCTTAGTAAATAAATGAACCACATACAAAATATCATAAGTTAATATGAAAAGATCAAAATCAAAGAAAAATACAAGTCAACTCAATAAACTAATTAATGGATCAAACCAACTCAACTTATCATTTAACTCTTTTGAATTAAATATTTATGCTAGTTGAAAGATTGAAAAATTCAATTTAACTTAACCTATGTAGATGAATTATGTTAATCAATATGTTTGATTCAACTTATTTTGATACCTTAATTAATTCAAACTTTTGTTTACTCTTCACTTCCTTAATAAAATGATATCTAATCCTTTATGTTTTTAATATGATCATATCTTCTATTTACTTTTCAACTATTAAAGTAAAATGAGGGTTGGTAAAAAAAAAAGAAGTAAAATGAGGGTTTAATATTATTTATTTCTTACATAAAATAATCTATCTGATGAATAAACTCGAGCTAAACAATTAAAATCCTATCAAATGTTGGGAGTTGAATCATCCAAAAATCACTTGTCATGTTAAGATAATTAATTAAAGACCAGATTAACATAGTTGGTAACTTGCATGCCAAAACAACAAAAACTTATTTGACTATTTAAAAATGTAGAAAACCAAGACATGGAAAGACTAGGAAGACATTTTGTGTAAGCAAAGGTGTTTATGTTTGGTTTAGGGTAGAAGAATACTCACATTTAAGTATGAGAATTAGCAAATCTTGGGTTAAGTGTGGTTCGTTGATTTTGAAGAATAAATCTTAACCATTCATTCATAAAGCAATTGATTTCTAACGTAAAGTTAATGAAACCCTAATATACTAACACAAAATAATTGATTTTTGATGTAAAAGTTAATGACACTCTGATACATAAACGCAAAATAATTGATTCCTGACATAAAGTTAATGACATTTTTATGCAATGACATAAAACAATCACATAAAATATTAAGTGCAAAACACCTCTACTAACATCATTACAATCATCGATTAACCACTAAAATGAAAAATATATAACGGTTGTTCCTGACAATTAACATGAATACAAAAAAGTAAAAAAATACTTAAACATAGTAAATTCAAAACATATAACATAACCATATAATATTAGTTGTCTTCAAAAGTATTTTCTAACTTCATTGCTTGGTCAGTGTATTTTTCAAGTGCTTCCATCCCATCAAAGATTTCAAAACCTGGTGACAAATCTTTTATTGTAGCATATAATTCTAGACATGTTAGGTTGTGTACTTGTTTGAATAATGAAAATATACAAAGTACATCTTTATCATTCCTAAGACGACACACTCTATATTGAAATATATCATCGATACATGAAATTGAGTATCGAAACTGAACGTCTGTGACCACTTTGCCATGAGGAACATTAAGGTCATTCTCAATGATGTGCTTTATTTTCTATAGTTTTTATATCAATCAATCCAATGATATCATTTTCAAGTCTCATATATATTTGTAACACCTTTTAAAAGTCATTCAAAAATTCAAAAAAAATTAGAATTTCATACTAATATTCATTGATTTATAATACAAAATTTAGTATATAATGTAAATATTTCTTGTTATATAACTTAAATGTTTTATATAAAATAATTAAATTTAATTTCAGTTTTTTTAAAATTTCATTTAAAATTAACTATCTATAATTATTAAAGCAAAATAAAAAATTAAATAAATTATACATATTTAAAAATATAATAAGTTAATTATTAAGTTATCTATATTTTTAAAATAAAATTTAAACATTAAAATATATTATTTTTTAAATTTAAATTCTGAATTTTAAATTAAATTAAAATAATTTTTAAAAAATTAAAAATAGAAAATAAAATAAAAAATGAATTAAAAAAAAACCAAGACAGAGCTCAGTTGTCCAGCAACCAATTTTTTAATGAACTGAAAAAAGAAAAAGTCTAAGTGAGAAATCGGTTCCCTCAACCTTCATGGTGGGAGGTTAGTTGGGTAAATTAAAAAGAAAAATGGTATATATATAAAAAAAAAAGTCTCTCAAAAACCTTCACAGTTATTCTGAATTTCAACATGTTTAAAAGGTTTTAAGTATTACAGACTAGTACAGACTCCTAAATTAATCGAGAAATTGCTCAGTAACTTTCGTGCGATCGACATGCATCCAATATAATTTTATTAAGATGGGAAAACAAGCTTTGTTAAGAATTGAGAAGAGATGTGTTATATATAATTAATAATTAATAATTAATTTACAGTATTTTTATAATATTATTTTTCTTCTACTTATTGATATACATATGATCTTATTTCATATTTTTCTCTTTTCTTTTCGATCTCTTTTTATTGTAGAATTTTTTATAAAAAATATATAAATACAATATCCCATTTGTTCAAAAGTAAACGGTAAAGTACAATAAATCTTCACTTTTCACCTCTATGAAATTTCTTTTCAATTCTATTTACATTTAACTCATTTTCAATCATTTGCATTTGTAAGTATAATAGTAATATAATATTAAATTATTAATATACCTACACATTCGTTGTTACTTATAATTACATTAATCACGCTGAATATGTGTAAGCACTGAAATTTTGAATATTTTAAAAATATAAATAATTACATAACCATTAAACATATATAAAAGGATTAGCTCCTCTAAAGTGAAAAAATTACAATTTAAAAAATAAAAAATAAAAAATAAAAAATTAATGATTAATATTATAATTAATTTTATAAAAAAATGATTTATTATAAATCTTAATTACTATTTTTATAATAACAATTATAAACACACTTTATTTTCTAAAATATACTTGCTCACTTCATTACAACCAAACCTGTCTAAAATCATTATCAAGAATGTTACGCGTTCACGTCAAGAATATAATTATCTGTTTCTACTATTTCTCCATAATTTAAAACTTGATAGAATTAAAGAATGTGCACTTATCCTTACAATATTAAAATAACCAGAGTTTTTTACTTTTTACTCTTCGCGGGTCTTAGTTTTTTCCTTCTTCAAAATCCCTGATCTTTATAAAGTACTTAATTCTATTTTTTTTTATATTTGTGAAACTAATTAACAATTAATTAAGCTTGAAGCCACTAAATATTTTTGTATCTTAGTTATATATATATATAGACTTAAGAAATATGTGTTCTCAGTGTCCTATTTTATCATGCCCAAAAATGACTTTAAATCTTTCTATTAATAATCTTTATCTTTTTGAGTCGTCTTTTTACTAATTTTTGGTGTACAATAAAGATATCTTTAATTGATAGAGAGACTAATGTTTTGAAATGTACAAATATTAAAATGAATTTTCCCTCACCTGTTAAATTCTTTTTCAAACATATGATTAATATCTTTTTAAGTATATACTTCAAGAACTAAGTTGAGCTATATTTTGTTGGCTTGTTCAGCTAATTTTAGTGAGAGAAATGCTAGTAATAGATTTTTTTTAATATATTTCTTTTAGCTGGTGACAATTTATTAAAGAAAATATAAAATTTAGTGAGACTCACACTTTATTTAATAACATTTTTTTCTTTTAATTTTATAATTTTTAATAAATTTTTAATCGATGAGAATGAGTATTTTAAGATAAATATATTAAAAAATATGTTGTTAATATTTCTCTTTTAACAAACCAAAAAAGTATTGGATTCTTTTAATATTAAACATATTTTATTATTTAATACAATTTTAGAGTGTTAAAAATCTTATGTAAACTAGTAAAATAATTATAATAGTGTATATAAATGAAGAACAATTCTCACCTTATAAATTAATTTATAAGAGTGAGTTAGACTCAATAATATTTTAATTTTTGAATACATTTTTAAATATTTTCATAGTGAAAATAATCTTATTTTAAAAGTCAGATTAAAATCTCTATAAAAAAAAAGTTTTATGAAAATTAATTAAAAGAAAAAAAATATTTTAAGAGATTATGTCATGAAGAGGAACTTAAATCCTCTTAGAGTTGAAACACTCCCTACTTTGCAGTGTGCCAGCTTTTCCCAACTATATAAAGGTTCTTTTCTTTATTCTCCTGGGCCACACTACAAACTAAGTTCAATCCTCTCACCACGTACACTGTATTGTATATATATATATATACCCTGTTGTTCCATCAAGATGCTGTGCAAACCATCTTTGAAGTCTTTGACGATTGTCATGGCTAATTTTCTGGCAATGTTTTTGGTCATGGAAATGATACTAGTGAGCGGTTTCCGTTCGGGAGCAAGTGGCTTGAACATGAACTACTACTTGTTGAGCTGTCCTTTTGCTGAACCTATTGTTAAGAACATAGTCAACAGAGCTCTGCAGGATGATCCTACCCTTGCAGCAGGTCTTGTTAGAATGCATTTCCATGACTGTTTCATAGAGGTTCTCTCTTTCCCATCTCCCTTTTGTCCCAC